GTATACTCCTTCTCTTTAACTATGGTTAATTTAGTTTTGTTTAAGAACCTAATGGGCTAATGGACACAGCAGGGACTGATCATCTCTGTCTGGGCCTTCCTTGGCTGAGGGTGTCTACTATAAATGTCTGAAACACCCGATGATCCTGAGGTTCACTACTGATCCCGACTTCAACCGTTTGGGTTCAACTATTTCCTTTAGAATGTGTTTACTGTCTACCTCCTACCTGGGCTAAAGACAAGAAGATGAGGTCTTGAGTGACGTGTGTCGGACCTTGCCTTGCCTTTGACTCCCTAAACCCAACTTTTTCGGTCACTGGACTGAATTAGGGGGATGTCATCGTGACACTAGTCCTGCACCTAACCTTAAACCTAAAGCCTAGCTCTAACCCTAAACCCTAATCTAATTGGCTATTGGACACAGCAGGGACTGATCATCTCTGTCTGGGCCTTCCTTGGCTGAGAGTGTCTAGTGGTAATGTCTAAAACACCCGATGATCCTGAGGTTCATTATTGATCCTGACTTCAACCCTTTGGGTTCACCTATTTCCTTTAGAATGTGTTTACTGTGTACCTCCTACCTGGGCTAAAGACAAGAGGATGAGGTCTTGAGTGACGTGTGTCGGCCCTTGCCTCGCCTTTGACTCCCTAAACCAAACTTTTTCAGTCACTGGACTGAATTAGGGGGATGTCATTGTGACACTAGTCCTTCACCTAACCCTAACCTCTAACCTTAGACCTAAAGCCTAGCTCTAACCCTAAACCCTAATCTAATTGGCTATTGGACACAGCAGGGACTGATCATCCCTGTCTGGGCCTTCCTTGGCTGAGGGTGTCTAGTAGTAATGGATGAAACACCAGATGTTCACTACTGATGATTTGTTGCAAAAAAGGGGCTAAACGTAAAGAGATGAGCTCTTGAGTGACATGTGTCGACCTGTGCCTTGCCTTTGACTCCCTAAAAAGTTCTGGAGTCATCCTAACACTAGAACTGCCCCTAACCCTTACCCTTAATACCATAATATGACGACTCTCCACTAAGTTCTATAAAGTCCCTTACACTAAAGTTATCAAAACCTTATCCTTAAATAATATACTAACTCCTACCAATATTAGACCTAAAATAATATATATATTTATTAAACATTTCCCTCTACCTACCTTAATTCCCTCAGTTTAGACCTGCAGGGAGTGGAGGAGGCAGAGTTTACATGCCAGACCGGCGGGGGTCAACTTAGCCCTGACTCTGCTTCCTCCATTCAGCCAAAAATTAATATATTTATCTTCAATTAATCATAACCTCCACCCTTATACTACACTTAGAGCACATATCACCTTACCAGGACAATTAGCTACTAACCCTAACCTATGTAACCCACATATCAACCTGATTCTCATGTTTATCAACTTAGCAGATCAATTAGCTACTGACCCTAATATTATATAACACCTGACCTTTGCGCTAAATTACACTTAGCTGATCCCTTACCCTGACACTTACCCTAAACCTAATTTTAAGCCTTGCCCTAACCCTAAAACCTAGCCATTACTCTAAAAGCTAACCCTAATTCTCCAAGTTCTACAAACTGGTTTGGCTATGGATCTGAGAGATACCAACAAACGTGCGCCGGTCCGTGCAATGCCTTTGATCCTCCAACCAACTGCTCTGGTCGTCGGACTGGGTTGGGGGGGGTCATCAAGAGAGTGTCTAACCCTCTAAATAAAACAACCAGAGAATTACAGTGAAGAATGGAAAACCCCATAATAACCATGAACTGACCACAGAGGCTTACTGCCTTTGAACTATTAAAAATGACCTTAAATAACTTCACTGCACAGCAAATAAACATGAATGTCATGAGTTATAAGGGAAGTGAGGCACCATGGCAACGTAAAGCCCAGCTGCTTTAAGGAAGAAACGATAAAAAACACCAAAAGTTGATCATTTTCACTGTCATATGAGACCCGACCTAAAAAAACACATTATAAATTAGTCCGATCTCAATTTTCATATTTACTAAATTTAGCAGCAGCTCCTCCTGGTTGATTTCCAGGTGATTTTTTTATTCATTAATCAGTTTTTGTTCCTAAATCTGTCTGTAATCATGTGATCAGACACATTTAGAAACCAATGAGAGTCTGCAACCTCACCTGAATACTTTATCTCATCATCGCTCTGCATTTTCAAGCCAATTCATTTTGTAGAAACCAAAAAACATATTTTAAACTGACATATCTGATTTCAAAATAATCCAGAATTAAAAATCAACCGACACCTTCACCAAACTTGAAAAATAAGATTCCAGCAGCTAAATTATAATTCCATCTCAAACCAGTTTGTCTATCCACATTAAACTGGAAGGAATCTCTTTGACGCCACAGAAGGAGAATCCTATAACGACGCTGCTCCACCAGAAAAATACCATCACGGTGATTCCCCGGTTAAACCGGCCCTCAGGATGACGTAAAACCTGTCCGATTTTTTCTAGCTCGTTATCAATCAGACTTCAAAGCAAATATGTATCAAATGTGGGCCTTTATTCCTCTTTCAGTATCTACATATTGCACAGAGGGAGGCAGTTTTAACAATATAAATATAAAGGGGAACAGCTTTACAGTTACCGGCTAATGGACCATTGAAGACATTCAGGATCCGTCTGTCCTGCAGCTCTGGACAGGAGCAGAAACTCTGCTCAAACATCCTGAAGGAATCAAACACTGATCAAAATGTCCCAGGTTTGCTTCCAGAACAGACAATGCAAACAGAAACCACTAAAACCATTAGTGGATCAATTGAAGAACTGCTTCCCTGTTGCCATAGAGAGCAGCGGCGCTGTAGAAGAGTCAACAGTCATTCATAGTCATTAAGGTGAACATAAACACTGCCAGAATCAGGTAGTCTTAGCGGGTCCAAGGTGAGCGAAGAAAAAAGGCAGAGTTAGATCTGCTGGACCAGAGACGTCCAAAGCTGGTCCTCCTCCTGGTCCTGCATATTTTAGATGTTCTCCTGCTTTAGCACAGCTTAAAACCCCCCATGGATGCTTGATTAACAGCCTTCGCTCAGCTGAGATCATCTCAATCAAGTGTTATAGACCCTAAAACCCCTAAAACCTGCAGGACTCTGCAGGCCTGGCTTAGGACACAGCTGTGGGAGACCACAGGAGTCTCTGAGGGAGGTCCTTGCATCAGTCAGAGTTCGTCCAAACGTAGCTAGAAGTTTCCAAAGGGCTGAACAGTTCTTTGGTTGAAGAGTGAAATCAAGCTTCTGTCATCTACTGCTGGTCGTTAGTGGGCGTGAAGCGGGTTCTCTGCTCCCACTTCCTGTCCAACGGCTGTAGAGGAAACACAGAGAAGATGAAGAGAACCAATTAAACCCTCAACCAATCAGCAACAGACCGTGACTTCAGTAAAGACAGATTCCAGAAATAGGACAAGTGTGTCTATTCATCCATAGATCTACATCTTTACTGGTTGAGGTCTGGTGTCCTATAACTCTATAGAGACCTGATGACACATGCATGAGGTCAGAGGTCAGAGATTATTCTTTCCCCGACAGGTTTGGTCTAAAGTGGAGTCCCTTCCCCCTCTGATGGGTTTTAAAGTCTGTTTTTAGCTCAATAAAAGGATCAACATCTGAGGATTGCTTCAACTGGAACTTTACTGACTATTGTCAGCTTTATCCCAACAAACAATACTAACGAAGTTCTATTTAAATTTCCATTTCAGGAGTAACCATGACTACAGCATGACATGTTTACAGCAAATTAAGATAAACTGATACGTTTTTCCCCGTCAATTATCGACTGAATGACATAAAGAAAATCAGTAATTACATTAGAGCCTGACTGACAAATATCTTTTAAATGTTTGTTCTACTTTGTTTAAATCTTAATGAATAAATAGGTTAAGGAGAGACATCCGATCAGCCAAACTAGATGCTGATGAAGTTTAAAGCAGAGTTTCCTCCTCCTGCTATCAAAGCAACAATCTTCTGATATTCTCTTGTGACTAATGTTGCTGTGCTGGAGGATGAGATTTGGTTCGGTTGAAGTGTTTGGGTCCGCTTTGTTTTGGAACAAACTCAATGTTCTTGCTGTTTGCAGATTTTGCTGCAGAGTAGGTTTTCTGCTGACCTCCAACAGTCAGTCTCCCGGGCGTTTTTCTGCATGCCTGACAAAGTCGACATTGTGCAGAAGATCTTCTTCTTCTGTGGTCTTGTGGTCTCCTCTGAATTGGAGGTTTGCCTGCAGCACGGCAAACAGGTCAGATAAGGATTTTAATCCTGTGTTTGGGTTGGTCTGTGGTTGGCAACGCTGGACACAAACCAAACTTTACAGGTGTAAAAAAAGAATACTTTTCTTCACCTTAAGCCTTATTCCCAAAGCTCCACCATTCAGATTAATTTCCTCCTTTATGCATTAAACTGATGCAATTCTGGCTCCGCCCTCTCTGAGATCTAGGCTCTCTGCATCTGGCAGTGAGCTAATCTACAGCAGAGCTCCTCCTCTGGGAGTCTGGAGAACTTCTGGATGTATTCTGGACTGCGTGAACATGAGGGACGCGGCTCAGTCTTACCGTCTCGTGTCTGTTTATCTCTCGGCACAGCGAGGGCTTTTGGCCAGTCGAGTCAGCAGATGAGCACATCTTTTATAGACTGCAACAGAAGGAACACAACAAGGCGGGCTTTTAATTGTGGCTAAAAAGCAGTTTCTAAAAGGAGACAGGACCTGCAGCATCAGCATCATGAGGACCTCGGTGTACCTAGCCTAACGTAGCCAGAGACAATGCAGTCCGCCGGGAGCGATGCGCTCACTTGATAAACAACCTGACGACAAAGCCCCAGTTATTACTTTTGTTTAGTCTTTCATAAAGGCATTTATATGGACAAAAAACAGCCGCATTGGAATCAGCCCGTTTTTCTACCCCGGATTTGAAACACAGATTCTTTTAGCACCGAATTGTAAATACTGAATTTCTTTACACATCGAATTCCTTAAACTGTATTTTTATTTGGTAAAAATTTGCCTGCAAAAAATTCAGCTGCAAGAAATTGAACTCCAAAAAACTTGAACTGCAAGAGAAGTGAACTGCAAATAAATTTGCCTGCAAAAAAAAATCACCTGGGATAATTCTGGGTTGCTCTAAATTCTCCGTTACTCTTCCCATGTCTCTGCAGCAGGCTCTAATGTTTGGTTTGGTGTTTGCAAAACGGGTTATTCTGAGGGAATGGAAATCCTCTATACCGCATGCTTTAAAAAATGGCTCAATGATATGGCGTCCTGTATCTATCTCGAAGAAATTCGATACTCTTTGTCAGCCAATCATGATAAATTCCTAGATGTGTGGCGTCCTTTTAATAGACATATTCAAAATAATTGGTTAAAATTACTCTTTTCTGGACCTCTTTTCTTTTTTTTTTTTATTCTTTTTTTAATCATTTATTATTATCTCAGTACTGTCATCATTTATTGCACTCTTCTTTTTATTGATATCCCATGTTTTACGTTGATCCGCTTGATACAATGTCTGCAGAATGATTTGTTGTCCTCTGACTCTGCCTCGTGCTTTAATATGCTTTATTAATATAATAATAATATAATTATTCTCTTATCAGTTCTTCAGTTTGCTGACACTGTTTTGTCTTGTTTTTTTGTTTTTGTTGTACTTGTTTACTGTTTTGCTGTATTTTATTTTATTTATTTATTTATTTTCTCTCTTTTTTGTCTTGTCTGTTTAACTCATGAAAATACATAAATAAAAAAAAATAAAATAAAATAAATCACCAGGAAGAAAATTCACCAGCAAAAAAATCACAAGCAAAAAATTCACTTGCAAAAAAAATCTGCTGCAAATGTGTTGATCTTTTGGTGAAGTCAAGCCTTAGCAATCTACACTCCATGCATTCGAGAAGTTTCCAGCCAATGAAATTAGCTCAAGTGCAGATTGACCTTTTGTTGTAAGTTCAACAAAAGGTCAACACATTTGCAGTCAAATCTTTTGCTGCAGATTTTTTTGCACACTGGAAAAAATCGAAATCTAGATGAGTCATTTTTTCTTGAAATAAATGCATTTGTTCTTGGATTGAGGAGGTAAAAGAGACACTTTGCCAACGGAACAAGATGATTTACGCTTAAAATAAGAAATCACAATTGCATTGTCTTATTTCAGGTGCATTTTATGTAAACATTATTTTAAGAGTAAAAATACTCATTCCATTGGCAAACTATCTCATTTAAATACTCAAATTAAGGGTAGATGCACTTGATTTAAGGAATTTTGACTTATTTCTAGATG